CGTGGTTATGTTCCTGATAAATTTCTTTCCGTTAAGAAGAGGAAGAGTCAAAGGGTTGCCTGAGATACTTCATGTAAATGGAAAGCAGAAATGACAATGTGTTTGTTCAGTAAGAGGCTGAAAAAATATGGACATCTTTTGTGAATGATGCCATATGGCATCATTTCCAAGTAAAGGGTTTAATAGAATAAATAATTACATCTAGATTTTCTCTTCCTTAGCAGAAATGGCTTATCTGTACATCAAACTTTGAAACATTCTTGCTGATACTTTGAAAGAACAAATCTGCTGATTCTTTATTTCTCATATTCTCAAAAATTTTCTCGCCAGCAGGTTTTCTCTGTAACAACTGATTTCTCTCTTATTGTAAAAATTTGGAGAAACTTCCGTTAACAAACCTTATAAGCAAAAATTTAGGCCATAGCGAAAACGAAACTCCTTTTTTACTGGCATTAAGTTTTTTTTATTTTAGCCAAGTAGTTCATCGTTGAACAACTTAGACAACGTTCGATTTTATATATATCTTCTATGTTAAAGACATAGTAACCAAACTAGAGGTAAGAACATATTTGAAGGAGGAATACTAGGCACAGTTACAGACAGAATGGTAGACTACAATTCTTTCAACTTTTGCGTAAAAAATGTAATTATCATCTGCAGAAAAGTTTGGCGATCATGGCCCCCGGACACCCCCGGTTCCGTTGGCCCGGCAATTACGGTTTCAGATTGTTGCTCTCTCTAGAGACGCAAACGTCACGGAGAAGAAGGGTGAGGGAAGTGAATCTTGAGTTTAAACGGAGGCTGTGAGGTCTCAAGATTGAGTCTGAACGGAAATTTTTAGGTTTATAGACGGGAAGGTCTATAGGTTGGAAAGTATATTAAATGACCCATATTTTGAAAAGGGTCGATATTTTGAAAAAACACAAAGGTATGGCAACCTGTTTTCTGAAACATACCGAATTTACGCCATCCACGCAGTTACCCCCGTGCATACAAGGCTGACTTTCACATTCGTTAATGTCAATCTCGCAGCTCAATCCTGTATATCCAGGAGGGCACGTACAGGAATAAGAGTTCACTAAATCGGTGCAGTTGCCCCCATTCTGACATGGCGCTGAAGCACATTCATCGACCTCGATCTTGCAGTCTTTGCCAGTGTAACCATCTGCACACTTGCACGAGTAAGCAAATTCACCACGAATGCACGTGCCGTTGTTCTGACAGGGCGAAGCGTAGCAAGAATCGTTGGCTGCAAGAGTTCACAAAGCACGAAGTAAATTGAAGGTACGTGAATGGATAATGAAATTGGATAAATTGATAAATAGCAGAAAAGACATGCATGTGAAAGAATCTCAAAAATCTTTGGTTTAGTGGATGAACATTTTCTGATCGAACTCTGATAAAATTCTGACTGCATCATGATTTGATCATACTCACATCATGACAAGATCATAATCCCATCATGGTTACATCGTGATCAGACCTTTAGTATATTTTGATCACGTTCTGATCACAATCTGATCACATGCTGATTACAATACAATCAGAGAATAATCACACCATAATCCAATATTTTACCATTTTCTGCTTCTGATGGCATGAATTTTTCTAATATTGGCTGTATAGCAAAGTTATCAGCATGAATGGAACAGGCAGGTGAAAGAGTTTTAAGATTCTATAGTTAAGTGCATGATCCTGATCACTCTATGATCACAGAATAAAGATCAATTTTTTTCAATTTTTCTAATTCTGATGGCATTTATACCATGCAGTAAAACGCAAAGGAGGACAGAAGCTGTTGCTGGACTCAAGACTTGAAGACCTTTCTGAAAACTTTCTAAATCTTAGAAAAGGGTTGTTATCGGGGACGCCAGAGAGGGTGGTGTAGTGGCAACCGCCCCTGTTGCCATTTGATAGGACGAGCAAAGGGGGCAAATTACCCCTTTCATAGAAGTACCCTTCACTTCGGCCGTTTGTAAGTATCAAAAGATTCATATGAAATTCTAACTGTACTGCCTTATTTATGATGACATTTCTCAAAACTTGTAAAGAAATTTCTTACGCAAAAAGTAAGCCGATTTTCAAGATAATAGTCTGCACACAGGCTACGAGATACTTAGAGAAGATAGAAATACAATGGCAGCTACGCAAGAAGTATTTTTAGCTGGAAAATATTTTTTATATGCCTTTTTACTCGCGCTTAACCCCTTAGCCGGCAGACGAGTCCGCTGATGCAAAGCCACTCACCTGGACATTCTGAGACTGAAGCTGCGCCTGTTTTGCCGCCAAATGCTCCTCCGCCAGGACAGAGATAACAGACCACTCGGCCAGTATTGGGTTGGTAAGTGCCAATGGGACATTGCGTGCAAGGGCTGTATCCATCCCTTGAGAAGTTACCCGCAGCGCAAGGATCTAAAAGATAGAGCATAATAGTCTCAACAAAAGCACTAATAATAATAATAATGGAACCTTTTCATTTTGAATTCCAGTTCAATCTACAATTACAAATCTCCCTATTAAAAGTTTGTTATAATAATAATGATAGTAATAATTTTTCTTTTCACACGATTCAACCCTTCAGCTACCCTAATACAATATCAATTAAGTATAAATACATTTGTTCAATTAAAAAATATATAATTTCAATCTGAAATGCTGTTCTTCCAGGGGATCGTGTTTAAATAGACGAATCTGTCAGCTCTTCAAGTACTCCTTTAATTGTTTTTTAAAGCGACAAATAGTCGGGAGTCGGGAGTTCATCAATTGGAACGTCGTTCCAGGCTTTAAGAGCAGAGCAGTTAAAACTTTTCTTCACATGCTCTGTATTTGTTCTAGCAAGATAAAATAAGAGAACTAAGATAGTCTAACTAAAATCCCTCGATTTTCCTCCCTTTTCGCATCCCAATTTTCGGTGGAACGAGCTCAGTTGTCCGAAACAAAACCACCATTGACAAGAGCAAGCCTTGACGAGGCCAATGAGCCGTTCCTTATTTTATCTTGGTTCTAGGAATATTCAGATCCTTACAGTTTCTTGTTGCATAGTTTGATTGCGAGGATCTTTGCTGAAACTTATCCCAATATTAATTTCTTCATAATCTGATACGTCATGACCGATCGATCGAATCGAATGAGATTTTCAACGCTCAACCAGTTACATGTCCAGTTTTCCTTTAATTTGGCGCTTTCAATCATTGACCGAGCGCGGTCCTGCAGACGTTGGAGGGTATCAAGTTTAGTTTTTGGGAGGCTGCCCCAAATAACGTTAGCATACCGTAGGTGATATACGACAGTGGCGTAGTAGACGCTGCAAAGCTCTTTTTGGGAAATTATATTTTTTAACATTTTTAGCGACGTAAGTCCTCCACAAACTTTTCTTTTTATAACTTTGTATTGCTCGTGCCAATTTAGGTTTTCATTTGGTACTACTCCTAGAGATTTAGTTTTCGTTACACGCTTAATATCAGCGCCGTTGAGCTTGAGCGCACTTGAGATATTTAATATATTTATTTTAAGATAATGACCTATTATCATATATTGAGTCTTTTCAGGGTTAGGACTTAACTTATTTATTCTCATCCACTCCGAGAGGGTTAGTAATTCCTGCTGTGCCTCGAGGACCAGCTCTTTGACATCATTCGATATGATCGTGACATTTGTATCATCAGCATAGATACTAGCTTGTGAATATTTCAAACATGGCTCAAGGTCATTTAGGTTTACTATAAAAAGGAGAGGGCCTAAGCAGGAGCCCTGAGGTATACCACACATTATCTCGCTTGTCATTGATCTCTGACCGTTAGCTGAACAAAATTGTTTCCGCTGATCTAAGTAGGATTGAAACTAATTCCCAGCTGTGTTTCTTATACCGTATCTACCCAACTTCCTTAACATCATTGAGTGGTCAACAGTATCAAATGCTTTTCTTAGGTCAAGAAAGATAGTCAAGTTCAATTTTTTGGAATCGATATTTTTATACCAGTAATCGGTACTGCATATTAAAGATGTTTTTGTTGAGTACAGTTTACGAAAAACCGACTGATTCTTGGTGATAACATTATTTTCAAGAAGGAAGTCAAATAACTGATCGCGAACTATCCTCTCCAGAACTATTTGTAACTGGCTAGCCTGTTTTTACAAAATAAAACTACTACAATCGTAGTAATGAGAAAAGAAAAATAATGTTAAAAGGCTCTGGATTAGTCCAAGTTTTGTTTCTACAGCAGAATATATAGTATGTGGTGTGAATGGAGATGCTTGTAAGTTTGGAGATGAGATAGCGTTTCTGTTGATGATCAATGGACAAAGAGTCACACATGTCGATAAATGAGCTGCAGGAGTTGGCAAAAATACGTAGTGAACTGATGGAAAGATTGATAAATGAAAGAGACTTAAACCGATGCCTTAAGTTAGATATGAGGTTGGCATATTTCTCTGACTTTCTGACAGCATAGCAGTTGAGATTTGTTTCAAAAACTATGGTTAGCTTTTCCTAAAACGTACAGACAGTTTTCCTTAGTTTTGAGAAGTAAGTCAGGGCGTAGTTGATCTCCAGTTATGATAGAAAGGGAAAGAAAGCCTGGCAAATCTGCGTAGAGAGAAGACCCATTTATTGCTTGGCTAGAAAGTTTAATGCAGAATTATGACGCCAAGTATAGCGGCCTTGGTCAAAGGTATACTTTGCATCCAGCAACAACGTGTAGAAGTGTTTCTGGAAGAAGACAGAATACACAGTCAGATGTTTGACTAAGGTTCCATTTCTGCAGATTTTTACGAGATGGAAGAGTGTAGTTGAGATACTTGATGGTAAAGTTAAAGATGTAACAATGAGTCAAAATAATCTTTATCAAACCGAGGCTAACGAAAAGCCATGACCGGGATCACTCAAAAACTGAAACTGCTCTAAATACCATTGGTCACTTGGTACCTTTCAATGAATGATACAGTAATGATAAGCCGACTTTGCTTACCTACACATTCCGCTATTGACTTTGCTCCAGTTGATTTTGTTGATTGGCCAGACGGGCATTTGACACATTTGGTCGAATTTTTAGACGATTGGTACTCGCCAATTGGACACGGGCGACAAACGGGAACAAAGCCATCGCTAGAAAATGTGCCAGCGCTACAGAATTCTGTGAAAATAAAGGTAACGGTTATTGAAAATAAAAGTTTCACTCAGCTTAGGTACATCGTATACATTTCAAAGTGAAAACGGTAGATGTAGGAAGCAGCATTTTGTCTCCGGAAAAGGGATACTTTCAATTCTCTAGATGAAGTGTCAAAAAAAAGAAACACAAACCGAAGAATTATTTTACAATTAAACAATGAGAGATATTCCGAGCCAAAATCCCCCTGAATCTATTCAAAAATAGCAATATTATACGGAGGCTAAAGTCATATCCTCCCCCATCCCAAATTATTACTGAAAACAGACTGAGAATATCGTAAAATAAATCATCTATATGAATAATTGTCTGTTTCCATTAACTAATGTTCAATTAACTTCTTGAAAAACCCAAAAAGAACATTTTTCGTACAAAAATACCAGTCTCTAAGATAAAGAACCCTCCTCCGTATTTCCAACGATGGAGCTCACCCCATGAAACAATGTTCAATTAACTTTTTGAAAAACCCAAAAGAACATTTTTCGTACAAAAATACCAGTCTCTAAGATAAAGAACCCTTCTCCGTATTTCCAACGATGGAGCTCACCCCATGAAACAATGTTCAATTAACTTTTTGAAAAACCCAAAAGAACATTTTTCGTACAAAAATACCAGTCTCTAAGACAAAGAACCCTTCTCCGTATTTCCAACGATGGAGCTCACCCCATGAAACAATGTTCAATTAACTTTTTGAAAAACCCAAAAGAACATTTTTCGTACAAAAATACCAGTCTCTAAGATAAAGAACCCTTCTCCGTATTTCCAACGATGGAGCTCACCCCATGAAACAATGTTCAATTAACTTTTTGAAAAACCCAAAAGAACATTTTTCGTACAAAAATACCAGTCTCTAAGATAAAGAACCCTTCTCCGTATTTCCAACGATGGAGCTCACCCCATGAAACAATGTTCTTCACTCAGAGTGGCATTTCAACACCTTGGTATTGCCGTCAATTGAATTGCTAAAGATTCATCGACAAGCAAATTTGAGCAGAGGTATGTTAGAATCAACAAAATATAGAGTTATTTATACCCTGCCATGTGGGACAAGAGTCTATTATGCAAAATGTATGATGTAATTGTAAATATATTGTTTAAAAATCTGTTGTACAATTGATATCGACGGTATTTCTCCTAACTTAAAGCGTGCTTACTTGACATTCAGAAACATTTGTCGGAAATTTCAGATATTCAGGATCCGAATTTGTTTGCAAATGTATAAGGCCTAAGCGCGAACGGTATGTGCATTGCCATTTCCGCCAAGTGTGAGCAGCAGAGGCAAAAGACTGCCCTAAGCAATACAAGCGAATATTAGTTATATCATCCTAAGTTGACTTTCAACAGTTTCTGGTTGACCTTCCTGGACAACTATCTCAGGCTCGACGACAAGCTTTCAGTAGTAATTTAAATCTGCTCAAATTTTTGATAGACATTCGCAAGATTTTTTACATGTTATAAGCGTTTTTAATGTTAATGTGATTGAGAAACACCTGAAAATTTGTGCGTGAATCGAAGGGAGCTTTTTGTAGACTACACAATATTTGTAAACTATGCAATTTGGTTGAAAGTAACATCACTACTGATGAAAGCTGCATATCAGTAAAGACGGCATACCCTGTTGGGTACCCTGAAGAACATAATGAAAGTCGCTGCGCATATTGTTCGCGCATAGACCTTATACATTTGCAAAAAAAATCAGATCTTATATATTTGCAAATCAATTCACACCTTATATATTTGAAATTTCCGATAACAATTTATAAATGCCAAGTGGACACGCTTTGTTGTAAACGCCGTTATGTTATAGATGAATTTATCTTATATCACTTGTTATTTTGCGTAAAACTCCCGATTTTAATAATGCTACGAAGAAAATTACACACACAAAAATGCCATTGATGACTTACTGGACAACAAAAATAGACAGGGAAGTTTGCATAACCATCTAGCAACCTGCCTAACCCAAGTTTTAAACTTTAAATCATAAGAGTAAGACCACTGATCATTTTAAGCCTTAGGAACATTTTGGCAAATGACCGGAAGTTGCGTTTCCGGAAACATAAGAAATGCGCGGTTAACAAAATTTTAGAATTTCGAATTTTTCAAATTTGATGATATCATCAGGAAGAGTTTTCAAAACTGAGCAAAAGTTATGGAAAGAGCAATGTGATCTGACCTATAAGCAAAATGTGATGGCAG